GGGGGCGATATCGTCCCCATGTGGGCGTTTTTCCATGTTGAGGGGGCGATTAGTAACAATTTATATTTTGGGGAACGAAAAACAATTTTCTGGGCGATATAGTAAAACATTATATTAAGAATAATTGGATATTTTATTCGTTATATCGTACAATAATTAAACAAATAACATTATAGTAGTCACTAGTCTATTCAATACAGTACGAATTTGGCGTTAGCCTTGGCCCTTGGCATCGGAATTTTGAAGTCAAGCGGCGGTTTTACGTAACGGTTTTATTGAAGGGGCGATACTACGTAACGGTTTTATTAACTGTTCAGGGTGCTTAGGTTTGTAGCAGAACATTCTAAAGAGTTCGGTAAACTGATTTTTATAATGAGTCTATTATTTTTATTTTTAATTTAACAGTTAGACATAAAAAATCGGCAAGAGTTGTCAATTATATGTGTGGTTAATATCTATCATATGAAAAACAAATTTTAAGCAATTACAATCAGAGTTTCGTTTTGTTGGAGTTTAATATTCTTTAAACTGTTTTTTAATTATATTTAAATAAATACAGTCGACCCCCTATAAGACAGTAGATACGTTCCATTCTTTAGGAATCCGATTTCTTACGAGTCCTTCTAATCACAGCCTGACACGTGTCAAGTTTACGGACTACGGCTGTTTGAAAGGTTTTCTTCCATAAAATTAATCGATTCTAGACTAATCCGACTCAACATTTCCAAAATACGTATATTTTTGGAAATAATCCGTATAAACTACACTATAAACAAAAAAATGTAGGATTACTTACCGAGTTTGCACCATTCGACATCGCCGTTGCTCAAGCTTGTTTTCGTCGCGGAATAGTTCAGCAAACTGCGNCGCGTATTTTTTTGGAAATAATCCGTATAAACTACACTATAAACAAAAAAAATGTAGGATTACTTACCGAGTTTGCACCATTCGACATCGCCGTTGCTCAAGCTTGTTTTCGTCGCGGAATAGTTCAGCAAACCGCGGCCGCGATTTCTGATGTTATTTTTCTGCGAATAGTTCCTTGAACTTCGGAGACATCATTAATATAAATAATTTTAATCGCCCTTGAATAAGAAATGTTTCTTTCACAAGAAATGTATAAAATTAGTGCTGTATTAGACTTACGGTACCTAATTTACATACTGTACAGACGATAGTTCGCCTAAACTCTCCGTAGCGTGCCGCTAGACGGCGGAAAATATATATATAATTATAATAAAGTTACAATAAATTAAGTTAATATATAATTATATATACAGTATCTAATTTATATATAATTTATATATAATTATATGTACTGTACAGTACCTAATTTATATATAATACTGTACAGACGATAGTAATCTCTCGGTAGCGTGGCGCTTGAAGGCGGAATATAGTTCGGCTGCCCGATGACGTTTTACGTAATTATAGGAGTTTTTACCGTTATTTACGGATACCGTCGCAATTTTTTCGCAGTCTTATAAGAATCGTAATTATAGGAACCCGTCTTATAGGGGGGTCTACTGTATTTAACAAATGTCCATCAATAGTAGTGATGCCATTGTTAATGTGGCCATTTGCCCTATTTCAACTGTAGACACTTGAAATTGGCCAAATAGCCACAGGGTCTTTTCTTCTGAAAACTTTATGTATTTATTTTATTTTCTTATTTTGGGTAACACAACGCAATGCAATGCGTTCACTCTCTTTGTAAAACAAAATCAAATTGTGATTCACATATTGCTTTTACCGCAAAAATTACATTGAAACACATCCCAGAGATAAATATGAACTGCAGATAAATTTATTTATAATTGCTTTCGATGGTAACGAGCTACTAACTTATGAGCGCAGGAGCTAACACGTAATTCTCTTGATTTTCTATTGTTACATTGATAAAATTTGTTAATAATATAATTTTAACAATTGTAATATCGAATTGTTTATTGAAAGCGATTCTTGTAGGAGGAGAATTTTTCGTATGTGATAAAATGAGTCCTCCAAGTAATTTAAATTATTTGATTATGTGTATAATTATACAAATTAGCTTACAGCGTGTCTATAATGTGAAAATAAACAATGTCGTTAATATCAAGTTATAAAAAAGGCTTAAAATATAAAAGAAGCTTTATACAGTGATTTACAATGAGTATTGCTGCTTCATTGTTTCTTTCAAGATAACGTTTACAAAAAGAAAATGCCGTTAATAACTGTTAGGATATAACCCTTGATTGTCTTCAAGGGAGAATGTATCGATTTTTTTTTCTGTTAATTAGTCCAAATGTAATTAATAGAAATATATGAAAATAATCATCATAAGAATAAATTTTCAAATTATTTGCATTTGTTAACAAAACCGTAAACGAAAATTATTCTTAAACAAATGATAATTATACAGCGAATACGCCTTCTGAAGAGAATTTATAATACGATTTTTATACCGCATATTTCGATAATTCTACATATCATTGTGTAGAGAACCCGATCTGATTTACGGATTTCGTCCCACTTGTTCGTCACAGAGAAATATTGTGACACAAAATCTTTAATCTCTAATTTCGATTTCGGATCCCACTAATTCCCTACTGCTTCCTCTCTCTCTCTCTCTCTCTCAATCTCCTACCTCCTCTTCCTGACCCTTACTTTCGCCTTCTTTACTCCCTTTCTTTTACGGCTCTTTGTCTGAATTTCTTATTGCCATTTACGACTACCTGCAAATAGATTGAACACGAAGCGAAAAAACCGCAGTTGAGGGAGGAGTGCTAATACACATTGTATGCATATAATTAAGGAATTAATAATTTGCCATTGTATATTGTGATTGAACAGTAATAACAACAAACGTTAACTAAAATTAATTAATAATTTATTTATTTATTATAAAATAAAATTGAAATATTTTAAAATAAACATTTCTTAACTACAAATAATGGGAAAAGAACATTTAAATTTTTATTTATGATATTTAAATTTGCTTTATTTATTCATAATATTTCTAACATTAAATTAAACATATTTTATGCAAATAACTAACGATTTTATTTCTGAATCATATTCAATGTGCTTTTAATGGATGTCGTGGGTCTCAGACTTGCTTATAACAAAGATATGTAAGACATAACGAATGTCATTTAAAAGTGATTCACCATCTCTCAGATGTCATTCATTATCTCTTACATATCACTCAGCTCGAGTTACTGTATACTTTGTAAATCATTATTTGTATTCTGAGAACAGATCTACAGATAACTATTTAATATTGTAAACGTTTATGGAAATTAGCTTGTGCTAAAATATTTGTATCAAATTGCACAAACGGTATCTAACTGCTACAATACCATTTTGCTGTATTAGTGTTTACAACAATGGTGAAGATGCATAGCACGTATGCTCCTTTCTTCATCGAATTTGCTAATCTGACCGTTACAATATTTACGGCATCACTACGTAAATGCGTACTTCGACACACAGGCTTAAATACGATATTTTCGGTTTTTTACAACACTATTTAATTATTAATATTCAAAAAACTGTTATAACGTGCTATTCTTTAATTTGCAATTTTCATTTCCTTCCTATATATATATCAAAAACCTTACATTTAACCTTTCTAAGAACATGAAAGTACAAATTTTTCGCATTGTACGGCTATTTACTTTTTTCTACAACAGTATTATTGCATTCTATTCAATCGTTATTATTTTGAACACACAAATGTAATATCCACCTTGTAATTGAGAACTTAACGAAATGTTGATGATGCAAATTTATAATTACAATTGTCTATCACAATGCGACAGTTTGGGACTTCTTTTATTGGCCCGTCGAATTTTATTAATTTTTCTTGTTTATTTCTAAATAGAAACTCATTAGCACTTACAACTTCAGTTTTTGTAAACACGTTTTGAGCTTTACGTATACTACAATATGCATCATTTACTAATTGCCATTGCAATTATGTTAATTGTATTTAGATTCGCATTAATTGGCTTTTATGAATTGTTATTCCAAAAGATAATGTTAGAGGAAACTGTTTTCGAAAAACATGTAGTTTTTCTATGATCGTGTATTTTCCAGATACTCTTTGAATACATCAAATTACTCCATTAACAGAAACACCTATTGCTTCTATGCGTTTGTCCAAATTTGTTTTAACATTTTCTATTGATACAACGCCCATGGAGTCGTTTACTAGTTCTAAAGATACTGTACATAAATATTTCTTCGCAACATAATTTTATATTCGATTTTTACAGTTGTACATCTCTAAAGTCCTGCAGCTCTGTAGCTCTTGCTTTCAAATTCAGATTTTCTTTATTGCACTTCCACTATAAAATGGTGTGTTGATCTTTATACAATTGCTAAGTTTTTTGAAAATTACTATTTTTGACGGGAATTCAAGGCAAGAGAGTCTTTCAAAATCATTAATTTCTCTCAATTAAGTATTCATTTAGATTTAGAATACCAGAAAATATGGAATGAAGAGAACTTCCCATCTGAAATAATATAGACGCTTTTAGAAGTATGACAACTATAGAAATAATAAAAGTAAATTAATTGGTATAACTCACTTTTATGGGAAACTTTTTTGTCATTTTGAAGAAATCTCTAACAGTCAAACACAAAGATTCTTTACCAAATCTCTTCATAAAATTCAAAATCTGTTTGATCAATTATTAATAATATTGTATAATAATTATACAACAATAAAATAAATAAATAAACCAACAAGATAAAATAGTACCGAACCAAATATCTAATTTGAATAATTTTTTGAAATAGGATATTTTTGAATTCAGCACGCTGTAATACAGCTGTATTTCCATCTTTTTGTTTTTGTTTCGCACGAGGCTAATTGCAATTTCCTAATGACTGGAAATATCTCAAATCCGACCCCTTCCCGTCTCAAGTTGCCAGATATTTGATCTCGTACCGTACAATTAAACTATCTGACCTTTAATTTCTGTTCTAATTCGAGGTCACAATCAGCGAATCTTCTAATATCTTGAAACGACGTTTGCATCTGGAAAAGAAAATAACGCATTTAATCGAATCTGACGATAAAACAAATACATCTTGATAAAATACGTTACGCTGGATGTTAAAGCAGATGCAAATACTCCCATTACAATACACATAACAGTTACTACGGCGCAAATAACACAGATGTAGACTTTGAAAATAAATTCCATTTCTGAAAACACGACAATGAAATAAAGTAGACTGGTTTCCATCAGTACACATCCGTAAATGGTTGTTATAAAGTAATTAAATGGACCGTTGAGTTGGTCGGTAAAAGTCCAAAGTTCGTGGTGTTGTGCCATAATTTCTTCCAATTCCGACTTCAAATTTGAATTATACTTTTTCAATCGATACAAATCTTCTGATAATCTCTTGAATAATTTCATTAACGTAATCACTATGACGATAATGTAAGCACTAGTATTCAAAAGACTACCACAGGCAATTGTCAACCAGATCCCGATTTCAACGGTGCAGAAAAGAGCTTCATATTTGAAAAGTTTTTCTCTTTCTATTGCGGGATAAAAGTAAAACAGGTTTAAAACTTGGCCCCAAAATGTGAAACTTACAATCGAAATCACAACAATAATTTCTGCAGAACTTATAACAGCAAAGAGTTTATTTCTAGGAAAAATTGAATTTTTTAACTGTATTGTTGAATCTAGTTTAACTCTTTTTATAATACTAAACATTAGAGCGAATGAAAATGTGAAAATTGCAGCAGCCAGTTTGACGAAGTTATTATTTTCGAAAATCGAGTACCAAGAACGGCAAGGTGTTTTATTGGATAGGTGAGGAATTGTCATTGAAAAATTGAGAATGAAATGTATCCAAAAAAGAGCTTCAAGAAAACAAACATAAAATTTCTTCAAAAATTTCCAAAAACAATTGTAACTCTTGATGGCACAAGAACAAGGATTGAAAAGATTCCATCCGTAAATCAACGAAATTGACGTAAATAAAGGCAAAGAACATTGGAAACATAACTTTATATTTAAATTAACAATGGTGGATGTAACAGTCGATATTATGGTTGACATATTTTAATGTAACTATAACAATATCTTTCTTATAAATATAATGATAAATATTCTCGTCTTCTTATAATGTTATTATAGTTTAAAACTGTTCATTGCATCAATACTTGATATCTTGTATATGTAATAACAAGATGAAGCTCACTCTCTTACACCATTATGTAGGTATTAATGCAGTAAGTATATTCTAATATAAAGATGCTAGTTAACATAATGAGCGACTCATTACATAGAATTTCATTATGTAAATATTTTTATGGCTGATTGTAATAATAACAATATTATCAGTTTAAAATGCTAATAAATTGAAATTTATGGAAAATCAATATATTAAAACGTGATTTAAGTAGATCTATTAAATTAGAAATAATTTAATTGCTTTTATCGATTGGTGTAAAGAATAAATTTAAATACCTGAATTTCAAATACGAATGGCAAAATCGTTACTGCATTTTTCGGGATAATGAAGGTGCATGTTTATAATAACGTTTTATAACATTTTTATAATAATGATTGACATTAACTTCTTCTTTTGAATTGTAATATCGAACGTGACATCGAAAGCATTGATTTAACTAATGTAATCTATTAAACATGCATCCAGGCGCTCATTACTTGGAGGAGGTTTCACAATCTTCGAGTGAGCTTCAAGAATAAAATACTTTCGAAACACTGGTCAAACGTCTCCCTCGTATGATTAGTTCTTAACAGCAAATTTTCAATAGTGAAACAAGCATCTTATTATTTTATATACGAATTATATTACTCAAAGATGTCTGCCTAAGCACGTCTATTTCTGCGTAGTGTTTCTGAAAACTGAACTTACTGTTGTACGTGAATTAAATGCTATCTTACACAACACTCGGATTTTGTGGACACAAAAGATACAATATCCAATTATATCAGGTTGAATATTCTAAATTGCTTTCTGTCTATAAATCTCCTCTATAGACATCGATGGTACTAAATTTAATATGTCATAATATAAACGAAATCGATTGTTGTCTTTTACCATTGTATTTCATAATTGTATATTTTGAATCCTATTTCATTTTGATACATTTGAGATAGTTTTCTAAAGTATAAATATCGAATTTTTTTACTTGTAATTAAAAGTAACGATATATAATTGCTACGTAAAGTTATTGTCTAGCTTTATCTATAATTACAAGTAAAAATCTTTTATAATTATATTTTAAAAGAACATCTTAGATTGATCAAAATGGAACACCATTCCAAACAATAGATTTAATTTATTTTATAGCATATTGTATATAATACCATCGATGTCTATAAAGAATATTTACGGGCAGAAAGCAATTTGGGATATTCAACTTAATACAATTGGATTTCTATTTTCGGAATCCTCACAATACACGTTTTACATAAGAATACCTTTAATTTGTGTAAAGTAGCAATCTCAATTTCCAGAAAATTTTCAAAATATTTCATTGTTTGATAGATAATTTCAGATGATTTTCTCAGATTTCCCTAAAATTGTTTAATTATATCTTCGATATTAAATAAAAATTCATGTATTTAAAGGGTTTGCTGCAATAAAATTTGTATAATTTCGAAGTCATTTCAACTGCACTTTTATTCAGGCATTTTTATTATTCATATTTATATAAGTTCTACTATACTTAGGAAGAAAGGAATTGATAGAAATGAATTGCAAATTATAACAAATCTTTTCTGGGAACAGAAGGCCAACATTTTAATTGATTCTGAATTATCTGAAGAAATAGAAATAAAAAGAGGAGTAAGGCAAGGATGTATTTTATCACCTTTACTTTTTAATATTTATTCAGATGAAATTTTTAAAGAAGCTTTAGAACATATGGAACACATTGGGATTGTAATAAATGGGATGAATGTAAATAATATACGTTATGCTGACGATACAGTGGTTTTAGCAGAAAATATAAATGATTTGACAATACTAATGGAAAAGATTAATTCAATAAGTAAATTATATGGACTTCAGATGAATTATAAGAAAACAAAGCTACTTATTTTATGCAAGAAAAATATAGATAATGTAACGTTGCAGATACAAAACAAGACAATTGATACAGTTTCATCAATTAAGTATTTGGGGACTATCATACAGGAAGATGGCAGATGCATTAAAGAAATTAAATCTAGAATAGAAAATGCGAGGGGTACTTTTATCAGAATGCAGAAATTTTTCAAATGCAATGTTTTTAATTTACATCTTAAAATTAGAATGTTAAGGTGCTATGTGATGTCAGTTTTGTTTTATGGAGTAGAAACGTGGGCCTTAGATAAAAATACGTTAAACAAACTTGAAGCATTCGAAATGTGGTTATATAGACGAATTTTAAAAATATCTTGGACAGATAGAATAACAAATGAGGAAGTTTTGGAAAGAATGGGGAAAGAAAAAGAAGTTTTAAATACAGTTAAAAGAAGAAAGACGGGGTATTTTGGCCTACATCATCCGAGGAAGTAAATATGAAATTTTGAGAAATATTTTAGAGGGAAAAATCTGTGGAAAGAAAAGCCCAGGAAGGAGAAGGAAAAGTTGGTTAGGTAATATATGTGAATGCAATAATAAGAAAGCAGAAGAACTAACACGTGAAGCACAATTGAGATTGTTATAATACTAGTCCTACATTCAGAAATGAATATGGAACCAGAAGAAGAAGATACTACAGTATTTATAATAGGCAGAAAATTGCTTTTTGAATATTAAGTATGTACAGTATAACGAATTTCATTATACTGAAAATAAAACACCTTAATTTGTTGCTGAGAAATAATTGAAAAACTAACGTTTTTAGCCTGATTAACAGGCCATCATCAGGTCCAAAAAACGAAAATAGAACAGATACGTTCCACGTATAGAATACAAATATTTAAATCAAAGTTTAGAACAAAAATTTTTAAAAATATACAAGAGAAACTGAAAAATATATAAAATTAACACAAAATAAAATAAAAAATATAATAAATCTTCCAATAAACTAATTCTAGCCCGAGTTTTTAGTGAACTTTTTAATCACGTACTTTCATGCTGACAGGCTCTCAGCATTTCTCGCATTTAAACATCTCTCACGTAGCCTACTCCTATATATTTCAATCTTCTTCGCCGTCATTGATAAAGTGAAGGAAGATACAGGTTTTATACAGTTCCTTGAATGTGCACTTCTTGGACATTAATATCAAGTTCATGGGAGATCATTTGTCTACCAGCGTATATATTAAACCTACTCACACCCCGCTATATATACCAGTACAGTCCATGGATTCATATCGATATAAAATGGCCGCATTTCAAACTTTNTAAATCAAAGTTTAAAACAAAAATTTTTAAAAATATACAAGAGAAACTGAAAAATATATAAAATTAACACAAAATAAAATAAAAAATATAATAAATCTTCCAATAAACTAATTCTAGCCCGAGTTTT